AAAAATTAAATTTTGTAAAAAAAACTTTTCCATCAATTTTGAATTTTGTTTAAATATATTTTTGTTATATATATATATATAAATCCCAAATTTTAATATGAGAAAATTTAAATGAAATTTGGCATTGTTTCTTTTTATATTTTAAAAACTTAATTCCCAAAAAGACATCAAAATTTGTTGTTTACAAAAATAAAATTTCAAAAAATGGATTTGAAAAATAAAATTTAAATTCTAAATTTATTTTGAAATTTTTTAAAAAAACAAATTTTTAAAATATTTTTGAATATATATATATATATATATATATATATATTTATATATATATATATAAACAAATTTATTTTATGAATAAAATTAATTTTTTTTTTTAGTAAAAATATTAGGGATTGGACCCAAATATTTAAAACATTTTGAAAAAAAAAAATTCAATTTTAACTTTATTTATATATATATATATATATATATAGATATATATATATATATATATAAAAAGTTATTTTAGATGAAGACACTAGATAGATGATGATTAAAAAATTAAAAAATAAAATAAAAAAAATTAAAAGATCCAAAAAATAGATAATATAAAAAAACCATTTTAAACTTAGTTTTTTTTAAAATAAAAAAAATATTTCCTTTTTATTTACTTATATAAAGAAATAAAAAGAAAAAAAAATTTTTTTTATTATTAGAATCCAAATCAGGTTAAAATCAAAAATCAATATTAGTTTATATATATATTTAGAATATATTGATCAATATATATATAAATTTATATATATTATTGAGAAATAAAATAAATATAAAATTTTTATATATTTTTTTACAAACAAATTTCCATTTTAAATTAACCATCAGAGAATGATATATATATAAAATAAAAAGATATATTTATAGAAATTTATATAAAAATATATATATTTATATATATATATCATTTAATAATATATTATTTCAGAAAGATCAATTATAAAAATTTTAACAAAATAAATATATATAATTTGATTTATTATTTAACACATACATTAATATATTTATATAGATATAGATAGATAAATTGAAAGATTTTATAATAAATTTTTTAGAAAACCATTTTTAAAAAAATTTAAGGTATAAAAAAAGATTGAACAATTGGTTGAAAAAATTTTTATGATATGAATATTCACAATGATTTCTTAGATATATTTATATTATTTAAAGATATTGTTTTATATATTTTTATTTGAAATCCATTTTTTTTATAGAGACAATATAAAAAATATTAAATATAATAAATATATCTAAGAAAATATATAAATATACAATGGTTATTATAATTTTATATAACAGCAATATGATTTCATTTTTTTTATATTTATAATAATATACACATATATATATATATATATATATATTCCAAGATATATTTGAAATTATATACAATATATATATAAAAAATATATATATACATATATATATATAAAAAATATATGTTATAAATATATATATATATATATAAATATATATAATAAAATAGATATATATATATATATAAAAATATATATATAATATAAATATATATATATATATATATGTAAAAATATTGAAAGAAATCTTGAGAAAATTATCAAAAAAAAAAAAAAATGAAATTTTTTTAAAAAAAAATGTTTGGTTGATGAGATTAAACCAAAGTATTAGTTTTATTAAAAAGAAGAAATAAAAAAAAAATTTAGTCAAAAATGAAAAAATTTTCACAAAATTTCGAAATTGTCACCAAAATAAAAAATAAAAATTGAAATATTGATATTTATTGTTTTGAAAATTATACATACAGAATAGAAAAAAATATTTATATATATAAAAAATAAATATATATATATTATATTTATAAAATTATATTGAATCCAATTTTTTTTTTTTTTATTTAAATAAATTCATTAAATACAAATATTTAATACAAAAATATCTATTTTATAAAAAACAAACAAATGATTTAAATTAAAGTCGATATTTGTTTATGTGAAACAGTATATTTGAAATTCAAAAATAAATGTAAATATTATATATAAAGATTATAAGCATTTTCTTTTTGTTAAATAATTTTTTAAACAAAAAAATACAAATAAACCTGATGAAATATATATTTTTTTCAAAAATATAAAATATTTTATATATAAATATTGAAATAAAATTTATAAAATTTTATATTTTCAATAATATATATATAAAAATAAATATTTTTTAAAATATAAAAATTTTTTTAAATTATTTTGAAAAAAACCAATGAAAAAAATAGACTATTTATTTAAGAAAAAAAAAAAAAAAAATTTTTGAGTATATATATAAATTTAAAAAAATGAAAAAAAATTAAATGGAATTTATATTTATATATTTTGATAAAATGATATTTTGAGGATTGAATTTAAATATTTATAAATTATAAACAATTTAGTATTTGAATAAAAAAATATTTAATGGATTTTTATAATTTATCAAAAATAAATGATATAAGAATTTAAAAAAA